TTAATAGCATGAATGCATTTTGTGCATGAAGTCCTCACTGAATAGATATGTGTGCATGCTGTAGGTCTGGTTGTAAGGAAAACGTTTGGGCTCACCTGAAAAACTATGCTGAAGTTTCTGTACTGCTCTGAACAGAAAATAATATTTAAATAAAACACTATATTATAAAATCCATTTTTTTTCACAAATGCTCGTCTTCTCTCTCCAGATGCAATCATAAACATTTAAATCCATCCATCCAGTCCCTGGGCAGTCTGGGACCACTTCTGCTCCCTACTGTTTTGATATAGTTTGTTCTGTTACACTAGTTATTTGTATTTATTTATAAGAAACATTAGTGTTATTACCATTTTATTCACGTTTGTTTAGCAGTATTTTTATTTTAAAATAAATAAATTCTGGTAAATATAAAGCTGTATGCAAGTTTTCTTTAAGTGTATGAATATTGTGATTAGTGGTCAAACTGGATGCAATATAAGGGGCAACTGCTGAAATCTTGCCAAAGCAATGGTCCAAAGCAACAAACATCAACGACACAATTCCATTACCCGAACAATGTAATGATAATAATGAAATACAGTTAAAGTTGAATAAAGTAGGCTACTCAACATTCCCCTCGGATGTCGAACCTTTAATTTTACTTTTATTAAAAATGTAATTATTATTAATGTCTAACTGTTAATTACGTATGAGGTCATCCCGTTAATGACGTGTTGCCTCACTGTAACCGACAGAGCTTGACTCAAGATAGCCAACCTTACCAACTAACCCATAACACCCTCACACATCCGGCAGGTATTCCACAGGTGTCACAGCCCCCCCTCCCTCCTTCCTCTCCCACCTGTCATGCTAACTACTGTCTGCTAACACTGTGATGAAACTCACCCACAGAAGTGCGCTTTTACTTTCACCCACTCCGACTCCAGGTCCATTACGGATCCGTTTGACGCCAGCATGTGCATAGTAACAGGTCGGTGTTCCCTCCCAGCGGTTACCGGACAGGCCCGGACTCTCGGTGTCAACGGGTCACGTTAAGTGTTCATAGCACGGTCAGGGGTCACGTTAAAGCGCGTCGAGTTCCTTTAAAGTTTCTTCAGTTTAGATTACATTATGGGCTTCACCGGAGGAGGAGGAGGAGGAGGAGGAGGAGGAGAACAGTGAAGCTAACTTATGTAACATTGCTATTTCCGGCTATTCTTGGATACTTGTCACAATAAAATAATCATGTGCCTTGTTGACAATAATGTAATAAAAAACAATATTCCCTATGCGCCTGACGATGAACAGATTAAAAAAGAAAAGATGAAGGCGTTAAAAGGAAATTAATCAATTAAAAACAAGACAAATATAACGTGTGTGTGTTTTACTTTTTGTCTGATTAAAGTCCACTTTGTGTGTACATGTATGCATGTGCCTGCTTAATAAACATTTTCTTTAAAATCTTCAAAATCATTTGAATTATTATTTTTTATTTTTAAGCAGGCTTTTCTGTTCTAACTATAATGTTTTTTTTTATTTAGCCTACATGTTCATTTATTGATTGCCTCCTTTAATGAACCATTATTCCTCTTTTATTCTAAAGAACTTGTAAAGCACTTGGTAACGCTGGTTTTTTACATGTGCTATATAAAATACATGACTACCGGAATCTGTTTGCGGCATCTTTATGTGATAAATACTTTTTCTGCTGCAATGAGATTAGGAATGAGTAGTGCTTTTATTTTGAAATGAAACCTCTTTTTGGTGTGCGTCAGTCTTTCTAACTTGACGGTTTCTTACGTATCACTATGGTTACCGGAGTCCAAATTCACCTGTCCCATTTGTTTCTAACGGAGCACGTTCATAACGCAACCGAACAGTGTTTAATATTCGTGTTTGGATTTATATCTGGTTATTTTTTACTGTTTAACGAACTTAATTAAGGTTAAATGTATTTAATAATTTGTTCAGTTGTATCCCTATGCAGGAGGTGCTCGGTTTACTAAATTTAAGATGTATATTGTATATCTCTATTTTAATATTTCATGTTTTTGTCATAATCAGGCATTCTAATTTTTGTTTTTACTCCCTAAATATTGTTTATTATTTCAGACAATTTTGTAAAAAAGTAGGCTATTATTTACATGTTTCATTATCATTAAATGAAGTTAAATCGTGATCCATGGAAACCCGTGGAGGGTAAGTCAAACATAATAAACTCACTCAGCGCCAGGCCTGCTCTGTAATGCTGTCGTGAAGCGCCACCTGCTGGTTGATTTATGAATAACCAGTTCAAAAAGCTGTAGAAACACTTAGTTTGCTGACTTCAAATGTTAACTTATTGGTCTAATAGTTTTGGATTTTAAAAATGCACTGTGGATTTTTGATAGAGAAATGTGAAAGTTGGAGAAATGTACACATTCAGTGGTATATGTTCATAACTCTATACATAACAAACTGTCCTTAGAGGAAATTTGGTCCCTGTAAAACTGTTGGAAGATAAAATGCTGTGCGAGAAGTTGTGGTGAAGGGCCCGCAACAGTGAAACACTCTCTGGTAGCTTTTTAGCTCCAACAGTCTTCCAGTGACCCATTTTTGTGAGACTACTGTTTTAAATAAAGTTTTGACTTGGGTGTCACCATTGCCAAGACTTTGGCTGAGGTGATGGGTTTGCAGGTGACAGGGCTCATGGTCACAGAAGCCACTCAAACGAAGAGAGTTCACTTTGACCTCTCCACAGGGCATGACAGCAGTGGAGAGAAATCTGAGGGATGCAAGACCTTCACTGCCAGAGTGAGAAAAATAGCAAAACAGGTCGGAAAAATGCTAAACATTTGTTTGGCAAAGATGTTGTCTTGTTCTGCTGAAAACACAGCTGAGCAAGAGAAATCATCTTCAGAGACACGTGCTGAGCAGCAGGAGGAAGTAGAAATACCTCTGACTGATCAGGTCGAGAAGGTTGAACCAACTCCAATAGATCAGGAGGAGGAGGTTGAAGACGAAGCTGAGTATGAAGAAGAAGTCCCCACAATCCAGGAGTGGGATGAACTGGCCTGTGATATGCTGGTGTCAGAGTTGGTACACACAGTAATGAAAGAGGTGCCCATCAGTGAGTCCCATGAAGCCTACAAAGACACTGTAGAAACTTTGAAAAACATGCTCTTGGTAGAGGTAAGAGCCTTTGGAATTGAAATGGATCTACAAGACAAGAAGATCAGGAAGATATGTAAGAAGGTGCACACAGACCTGTGCCAGAAGCTTGGTGAAGGGTGGCTTTAGAGGAGCCTGCTGTCACAGACTCCCTCAGTCATTGAGTTTGTGATTAAGACTCTGAAAAGGCGCCTTTTACCCAAAGAGAGCAGCAGAATCAAAGGATTCTTCAAATCCAAGTTGAATTCTTTCACTAGCCTCTTTAAACATGACTAAAGACATGTTACCATCGCTGGTCCTCAGGTGGGTGGGAGGATTTTGGGGAGGCTACAGAGAAGGACTTTCGAATCACAGATGGATTGGCTCAGTGTATATGGGGGAGTTGTACCAAACTGTTGTAGTGAAGAGGGAACTGAGACTCAAGGGAGAGCTCTCGGATTACCGAGCTTCATTCCAACCCTCTGTAGTCACACCATAGACTGTAAAAAGATGCATTATGGGTAGTGACTGAAAAAGTGGCTACTACTCCTTCACATCTAAAGGAGACAGTTGAGGTGTTTCAGGCGTCTGATTGGGTCTCCTGGACACCTCCCTTTAGAGGTTTTTTGGGCATGCCCGACCGGGAGAACCCTCTGGGGTAGACCCAGAGTTCACTGGAGGGATGTCCTTTCAGTCCTGGGAACACCTCAGAATCCTCCAGGAAGAACTGGAAAATGTTGAAGGGGAGGAAGTCTGGGTAGACGTACTTCTCCTGTTGCCACAGCGACCCGACCTCGATAAGGAAGAAAATGTAGATAGATGGATGGATGGGTGATTTTTTAAATATATGCGCTGATATAAAAACAAAACTTTTTTACAAAATATTTCATGGAGAAACCACCATTAGGATCATTTAGATATGGTGTCATCATGAAGGTTGTCCAGTAGAGGGCGCTCCTGATCCACAGTGAACAATACTCTCTACTTATTTTTTTATATTTTCACCCTCTATAACCCTTATTAATCTGTGTTGTTCAATTGAATTTAAGTCTTACTGTTTTATATATTTAATCTCTAAAGTGTTATTGTACAATTTCACTAATTGATTATCAATGATTAATTAAAAAGGAATAAAATCAGATAAATATGAAATGACTCGAGCAGAGAGTAAAACATGGATCAGCTCAAGTGAAATAAAAAAAGTATTCAGAGTTCTTCCTCCAGGTGATATATTCAGTATGAAACACAGAGCTTTACTTCAGAAACAGAACTGAGCTTTTGACCTTTGACCTCAGAGTTCTTACTGTCCTTTAACTTACAAATATTTGAATTGTTAGCTCAAAGTGTTGAAGTTAAAATAACAGACCCTCAAACAGTTCTGTTTCTGACCACCAGAGGTCAGCAGAGCACATATATTCAATAGTTTGATGTTATTGTTCAAGAATCAAACACTTTGATTTAGTCAAATCTTTTTATTCATCCCTTTTTACAAAACTTCAACAAAGACTGAAGCCTCTCTTCATGAGACTGATATATTCTTTTAAAACATTAACTTGATTTATTTTCTGAAAACAGAATCAAAAACATGAAGAGTCTACCGGACATGTAACCTCACACAGCGCTCTGACATCTCGTGTCATACATTTAATTCAATCAGAAATAAAGAGTTTAACAGAAAGACATCACATGAATTATTTTAACATAAAGTGCAACAAAGGCTTTTTTACAAACCCAAAAGTAAATTAAAAAAAAAAAAAATCAAAGAAAAAATCATCAAAAACATCTGATCTCATCTCAGCTCACACTCATCTATACACATTCACACCCTGATGATGCAGCAGAGGGAGTTATTTGGGGTTAAGTGTTTTGTCCAAAGAAACATCAACATGTTGCTGCAGGAGCTGGGGATTGAACCCCCGACCTTTCACTTGGGAGACGACCGACCACCACTGATCCACAGCCGACCCAAGAAAGTAAAGGGACAATCTTTAATTTCCAAAAGATTTAAACTTGATGGTGAGAGAGCCGATGGAGCGCTGATGAAAGTGTTTGTGTTCAATCATCGTCTCAAAAACAAAACTGGACCGGATATAAAACCAGATATAAATATAAACACATATATACATATAAACAGGTCTCAACAGTGTGTCAGGATCCAGCAGCTGGACCAGAACAGGATCCTGGAGATGATTCACTCTGCAGGAGTTCAGTCTGAACCGTCTCACCCTGACGAGAAAAGAGATTTAGTTTAAATCAAACATTTAGTAAATCTGTAAAAACAGGACAGAGTTGATCTCAGTCAGTCAGAGAACATTTGATCAAAGCTCTGCTGGCTCACCTTCGACTCTTTGGAGTCATCTGACATCAGACTCTTCAGGGTTTGTTCTCTAAGGTTCACATCTTCCTGTACGGGAAACATTAAATCTTTAAACATTAAAGAGAGACTTTATTAAATCATTGAACATAAAACAGATTGAGAGTAAAGAGAGTTTAAAACATACCGGGTCGGAGGGTCCTGAATGTCTTTTGTTTCCTGGAATAAAACATTAGAAATAAAAATCAAATAAATGATGAGACAGACCATAATATCTATAAAATAAACATGATCATGTTTCATTGTCACAGTGGAAACCTTACCTGCTGCGTTTTTCCTCCTCCAACTGACATAAAACCCTCCAAGTCCAGAGACTAAAAACATCCCAACAATCCCAACACCAACACCACAGATAATCTGTGCAGTCCTGTGTGACACTTTTCCTCCACACTGAGCGTCCTCTGTCTCAGTTCCTGCTCTCAGCAGCAGCAGACCCTCTGATTCACATCTGTAATGATAGAGGGACAGTTATTACAGGAACATCTGGAGAGTCCATGTGTGATGTGAAGCTTCACTCACTGTTTGTGATTCTGACAAGATGTAAACGTCCCGTCTGAAAATGTTCCATCTGAGCAGGTGGAGCACACGGTGTCTGTGGAGGAAGTTCCTGCAGGAAATACAGAACACATGAGACAGGGCACGCACCTCCTTTCATCTCATTGGCTGTAATAGACTGGGAACTGAATGGAAGGTCCTAATTTGCCAAATGGGGTGCCAATCGAAAGGTTAGAGTTTTGAGTATCCTAATTTTAAAAAATTATTCACAAAAATGAATGATCACAGAAAATACAGCAGGAAATCTGGAACAGCGGCGGACAATTTGAATCAATCTGTAGATCTTTATTTATGTGATGTGTTTGGATTCAATCTTTCTCTAGATTTGGATGGTTGGGACTCGTTCTGATGCAGCAGGACCGTTTTTGTTGGAATATTACGATCCAGAGAGTTCAGAAAATCTTCAGATGGTGACTCATAAGACAGAACAAATGATTTCTTTGTCAGTGGTCTGTAAATAATCCTGATTATGACAGAACAGACTTACAATAAAAGTGAAATGTGTTTAACTAACCGTGTTCTCTGATGTATTCTCCTGGTTCACAGCGTCTGTGTTTCTTTGCTTCCACACAGTCGTCCTTTCTAGAGTCTGAGCAGTAAAATCCTTCCACAGGTTCACAAACTGTGTCTGATACTATCGCACACGACGTCTTCATCTTCAGAGCAGAACCTGTCGACACAAACACAGAGGTTATTTATGAACTACTGTACTTCTGCTCTACTAAAGAACAGTTTGGTGTAAGGAAATAACAAGTACTCAGGTGATCATCTCTGTGTTTGAGGCTCAAACTCAAACTAACTGAAGGTTAGAAAGCTGGTTTTACAGTGATGACTGTTTAGTAACATGTTCTGATCTTTATTTAGTTTGATAATAATGTCAGAGATCTACCTTCATCACAGCTTTTACAGTCGTAGCACCGTGTACGGTAAGTTGGATGGTCCATAAAGGTTCCTTCAGTGCAGGGCTTACAGTGAGTACTTTCAGAGTCTGTGCAGTTTTCATAAACTCGACCTCCTGTTTGAAACAACAAGAAGACATTTTTTATTATTTTCTGTTGTTTGAACAATCAGAAGAGACAGAGTTGTCTTTTTTTCCACATGGACGCTTCAACAAGAAACTTCTCCTTCAGTAACTTATGTCAGCGCAGAGAGCGAGAGAGCGAGAGAGAGAGAGAGAGAGAGAGAGAGAGAGAGAGAGGCTGCTTGTCAACTGACAGCCCAGTAGGTCTGAAAAACTTTAAAACACAGCTGAGTCCAAAATATGCAAATTTTGCAACGACGGTAGGAAACCTCCCTCAGGGGGCCCCACCCGACAGCACTTTCAAGTGTAAATGCATTGTTCCAGTGAAATCTTAAACTTGCCAATAAAGACACCAAAGGAAAATGAAGAAGAATAATCTGTCTGGGTGAGAAAAGGAGGAACAAGAAGACGGTAAGTGGAACAGAGGACGATAATATATAATGAATATGTTTAAAGGTAACTGTAAAGGTAAATCATCTTTAAATGTATATGTTGAAAATAATACAAATATTAAACAGCTTTTGCATGTTTTTAGTTAGTGTCAGTTTATTTATTTAAAATAGGGACAGTGCACATTAATGAACATAAAGATGATGATGTTCTTTAATGTGCTCCCTTTGAACGATAAAACGTTTTGATCGTCTGAGGGGAATCTCACAGTGGCTCTGGTGGCTCCAGTTGAGGAGTCATTTATAGCTTTCTGTTTGATGTAATCATTTAGTGGAGGTTGAGCCTGCCCATGTAGGACTTTATACATCAAACAGGCAATTTAAAATGTTTGGAAGTTGTCAAAGCTTACTAGCCTGTATTTTCGGAGGAGTAACATCCTTCTAAAATACGAGCTACAATTCTACAATTCACTTATCAGACGCTTTTATCCAAAGCGATGTACATCAGAGAGTAAGTACAACACAAGCAAGGATTTAGAAAAAAGGGAACAATGTCAGTAAGAGCAAACGATCAGCTTTGAGTCCGATTGGACACAGGTGCTGACAGGAAGTGACCAGAGGTGCTGACAGGAAGTGACCAGAGGCAAAGCACAACATTGACGGCAGTTCTTGAGAGCTCTAATCAGTATAGAAACCACCTTATAAGTCGTCGTTATCAAGCAAAAACCATCGTCATCATTAATGATATGGAGACCATCATCATTAAGTTAGTAAGTATTCATGAAAGAGTGGGTCTTTAGCTCTTAAAGGTGCAGAGACTCTGCAGATCAAATGGAGTTCAGTTCACTGACAGAGGAGAAGAGTGAGACTTAGGACCCTGTCGTGAAGGTTGGATCAGACATGTTTCATTGGCAGAGCGTAGTGGGCGGGAGGGAGTGTAGACCTGGATGAGAGAGTTAAAGTAAGGAGGAGACGTTTTTGTGTCTGTTTTGTAAGCGAGCAGCAGAGTTTTAAATTTGATGCGAGCAGTAACTGGGAGCCAGTGTAAGGAGATGAACAGCGGAGTGACATGTGCTCTTTTAGGAGGGTTGAAGACCAGTCGTGCTGCTGCATTTTGTATCATCTGCAGAGGTTTGATAGTGCATGTAGGAAGACCTGCCAGTAGAGAGTTACAATAGTCGATGCGTGATATCACAAGAGCTGTACCAGGAGCTGTGTAGCGTGTTCTGACAGGTAAGGTCTGATCTTCCTGATGTTGTACAAGCTATCATGCTTTGTGATACGAAAAGGTTTCTTGTCTATTATTTTCAGAGCTTTTCCATACAGAGACTCAACATGTTTCATTGTTGTTGATCCTGTAAGTGACCAACTGCTCATGCAGTAGTCAATGTGCTGTGCAGAATGCCATTGGCCCGGGTGGTACCACCGCCTCTAAGGTGGCTGCGAGACTAGGTTCTTTGTTGTCCATCTGCTGGGTTTTATGCCGTCGGCTCGTAACCACTGGTGGTTTGTTCTGGGACCGCTGCTGCTACGGTTTGCATGTTCTCCTCGTGCATGTGTGGGTTCTCTCCGGGTACTCCGTCTTCCTCCCACAGTCCAAAGACATGCTGGTTAGGTTAACTGCTGACTCTAAATTGTCCGTAGGTGTGAATGTGAGTGTGGCTGGTTGTCTGACTCTATATGTCAGCCCTGTGAATGGCTGGTGACCAGTGCAGGGTGTCACTTTCTCTGTAGACAGCAAAAGGCAGGTGCTGGAGTCCCTGTTTTAGTCTTTGTGTGCAAGTGCCTTATTAATATGCAAAAAAGGCAAACTACTCAGAAACAGTGACATAAGATTAGAATGTTAATCTAACCTGATAAACTTTAATTAAAGATTATTTAACATTCATGTGGATCTTACCAGCTGGACACACAGGACAGCATCCACCAGGTGTCTCATACTCGTATCGACCACATGTCAGAGTTTGACCTGTGGAGACGTTCAGCAGGAGAATCTGTGAAGAGAAAGAGAAATGTTCTCACTGAAGACAAAGTGTACATGAATACAGAGAGAAATCTAAAATCATCATCCAGTCCATGAAGAGAGAAGAGGGAAAGAGTTCAAATCTTCACATCTGAAGTTTGTCTGTTTGTGTGAAGAAGAATCATTCAGAACAAATATTTACACAGATAGAAATGTTGAAGAGGAGAAATATAAAACCTCAATCAGTGCTCAGATAATTCAATAAGATCATTTACCAGAAACACTGCAGCTGATCCAGGTCTCATTCTCTCTGTAACAGAAGACCAGCACAGATTCCTCGTCTGTTTGAACCAACGCAGATTTAGGACCAAGAGAAATGTAACTCCAAACCAGGACAGGTAACACACTCCCAGAGAAAAGTGTTTTCAGCTTCCTGCAGTCAGAGAGAGATCACCATCATCATCATCTTCATCATCATCATCAGGACAGATGCAGATTGTTACCAGGTGTAAAAAGTCTCAGACATGAATGGAAATTAAATAAAGTTCTTTATGAACTGGATCTTACCAGGTGGACACACAGGACAGCATCCACCAGGTGTCTCATACTCGTATGGACCACATGTCAGAGTTTGACCTGTGGAGACGTTCAGCAGGAGAATCTGTGAAGAGAAAGAGAAATGTTCTCACTGAAGACAAAGTGTACATGAATACTACCTGATGATGATAAATCTGTTTAATATTTCACAGAGTAAAAACAGTGTGAAGTCCAAACCATGAATACGATATTATCAGGATGCTGGAGTCAAGATACGATATAATATAATTATAATAACCCAGATAGAGACAATACACTTGGAGTAATAATAGCAGACGAACTCAGTGTTCTAGGATAGACTTTTGGCTAATAACGAGCAATCTAGTCGATATGTCCTCAGACTGTGATATCTGTCCTTCTCTTACTGATCACTGTGTAATGACTCTATGTAGTGAATACAATAACAACATACTAAAATCAGGGCCGTTAATCTGGAAGTGTAACAATAGTGTATTAAAAAGCAACTCATTTTGCAAAAGGACCCTCTCCTTAATCAAAAAGGTCGAACTACAAAGTTATTTATCCCCATTGAATAAATGGGAATGGTTTAAATATGATGTTAGAAAAATTGGCATTCACTGAATACAGAGGGATACCTATTTACCTTTGAAGAATTTACAACAAATGATCTAAAGTAACATGTCATATTCTCTGTGTGTACCTTTCTTGTTTAAAAGTTGGTGAAGTTGATCTGTTTGATAGACGCTGAAACAGTCTTTAAACAGAAAAACAAGAGACTTCAATACTAGCTCTGGTAACTTTGACGACACCTTGAGAAAATTGTGTTTTTCTTTTTATCTGTCATGTCCAGTTACTCCTACGCTCAAAGAAACACATTTTAAAGTTGCATGTGCAATCGACCCAGTTTGTGATTTTTTACACAAAAGACTCCATTTTGAAGTAGATGCCTGTGCTTTTTGCTCCTCAGAGGTAGGAACCTTGGAACATTTATTTGTTGACTGCTCATACAGTAAAACATGTTGGGCTGATATCCACAGCTGGTTGTCTTTAAAGATTGATAACATTCCTACATTTTCTGATAAAGATATCCTCTATTATATTCAGACATTGTTAACCTTGTTATAATTTTGGGTAAATTTATACTTGTAAATGAAAAAAACATCAACCCCTCTTTTTATGTCTTTGTGTTATTTAGTCAATTACTTTAAATCATTAAAATATATGGAAAATAGAACAGAAAGGCCAAAAAACTTGATTTGGATATATCTAAAGTCTTGCTCTTTTAATGTCTCTTGCCTTGCCTGAGCTATTTCTATGTTCACCTGATTTTTGTTTTCTTTATTTGATGTATGGAATTTATTTTCTGTTAATTAGTTAATGTAGATTTGGTAGTGAAAGTTGAAAGTTGGAGTGGTGAAACAATTCTTTGTAATATTTTCTGAACTGAATACACAAACTTTATTCAAATTTAAAAATGGGTCCCTGGAAGACTGTTGGAGCTAAAAAGCTACCAGAGAGTGTTTCACTGTTGCGGGCCCTCCACCACAACTTCTCGCACAGCATTTTATCTTCCAACAGTTTTACAGGGACCAAATTTCCTCTGAGGACAGTTTGTTATGTATAGAGTTATGAACATATACCACTGAATGTGTACATTTCTCCAACTTTCACATTTCTCTATCAAAAATCCACAATGCATTTTGAAACATCCCAGCACTGAAAGTTTCAATCAACATTGTCCAAACTTTATATTTGAATGTGTCATTTACCAATCTATCATCAAACTATAATGAAGTGCACAGAGACCAGAGAAATGTTTGTTGAGGAGCCATTTCCTGGAAGATTACAAGACTCGTCAACAACAGTCAGGAAGTCACGAAGACTTCATGTTTAGAAATAACTTCAATATTTAATCCCTATGAGTCTTCTTGTTGTAGTCCTTATGTCTGCCCTGAAGTTTGAGGTTATTTTCATGTATTTCCATAAAGTCTAAAGTGTCAGACAGTCTGAGTGTCTCAGGATCCTCTGTGTTCATTTAGTGATCATTAGAGGATTTATAACATTTCACACCAGAAGAGTTTTAACTTTAAAACAACAAAGATTCACTTTTACACTGTTCTCCAATGTTGTTTAGTCTTTAACTTAATAAAATATGGTAAGAAAAACACGGACACACATACCTTAATGCTCCAAATGGCGTCGCTGAAAATTAACTTTCGTTTTTCAGCCCTTCAAAATAAAGCATTAAAAGTAGAACCATCCAATAGTATCTGTCTGCAGTCTGAGAAATCATGGAGAAAACATGCTCAACTCCTTTTCAACGTCAAACTACATTTTTATTTTATTTGACACAAGGACGTTTCGAGCAGATGCTCTTCTTCAGCGTATAAAAGGCAATGTTCTCAAATATACACAGGTGGGACTAATTTATACTTGTCTACATTATAACATGTTTATTTATGAAACACATGACTCAGAAAGTTCCTCCAGCCACATCAAAGCTGTCGTATCCTCCAAAGTGTAAAGAAAGAGTCCTGCAGCCAGTCTCTGCAGACGGTTGGATGGAGCTGAGAGTAAATTAAAAAAAAGATATTTATTTTGATACACAAAATTTCATTAAAAATACAAACATTATGAAATCTTAGAGTGTAATAAACCCAAATAATTTCAGTAAGATGACATAATTCTCTATATGAAAAGTAGAACTATAAAGATCTCATTCTGTTATAATAGAAACCATAGACGACATGTGAGCCCACATGGAGTCCTGGGTGGTGTGGGTTTACTCTGAGCACACTTCGGTTTCCTCCCACAGAAACAAATCATTTGAAAAATAATCACAATAAAAAATTACAATTCATTTGAAAAAAGAATCATCTCTGTTTTAATACATTTCTTCAGATTATTTCTAATATGTATTTGTGTCTCACATTTTATTTCTGTTCTGACTCTGTTCATGGTTCTGATGTCTGCTCTCTATCACTTGCATTGTTTCTGTTTTTTATCATCACTTTATAAAGTAAACGCTGGGAAATGATATTTTGTGGTCCAAACAACAAATGAATTAAAGATAATAATAAAACAGGAAGATTAATGAATATCATTGAAGGGGACAAACAAACAAAAAGGCAAACAGACATGAAGACAACACCTCACACTTTGTCCATCATGACTTGTTGCTCAGTGTACATCAAAACAAACAATTCAGGTGGAAGCCTTTTCAAAAGTTAGTATTGCACTATGGTAATAAGTAGACGGAAATTTGGTATTTAATCTGAACTGAACTGTATTTTAGTCCTTTGGTGGACTTTTCTAGTCCCAGTAACCCTTTAACCCCAGGTCCACCATGCCCAGGATCCACTGCAGTTTGCTTACCAGGCGAAGGTAGGCGTGGACGATGCCATCCTCTATCTACTACACAGGGCTTACTCTCATCTGGACAAAGGGAGCGACGTGATGAGAATCATGTTCTTTGATTTCTCTAGCGCCTTTAATACCATCCACCCCCTCCTACTGAGAGACAAGCTGACCGAGATGACGGTGGACTCGCACCTGGTGAGACGGATCACGGACTACCTCACAGAGAGACCACAGTACGTCAGACTGAAGGACTGCACATCTGACTCTGTGGTCAGCAGCATCGGAGCACCACAGGGGGCCGTGCTCTCTCCTGTCTTGTTCACCCTGTATACCTCTGACTTCCAGTATAACTCTGAGCTCTGCCACATGCAGAAATACTCGGATGACACTGTGATAGTTGGTTGTGTCAGGGATGGACAGGAGGAGGAGTACAGGAGCCTGATAGGGGACGTGGTGCAGTTCAAACCATCTGCAGCTGAACACCTCCAAGACCAAGGAGATGGTGGTGGACTTCCGAAGGAACAAGCCACATCCCCAACCTGTTTCCATCGGGGGGTCGACGTGGAGGTGGTCAAGACCCATGGGTACCTGGGGCTGCAGTTGAACGACAGGCTGGACTGGTCATCAAACATGGACACTATCTGCAGGAAGGGACAGAGCCGTCTGTACTTCCTGAGAAGGCTGGGGTCCTTCAACATCTGTAAAAAGCTGCTGCAGATGTTTTACCAGTCCGTGGTGGCCAGTGTCCTCTTCTATGCTGTGGTGTGCTGGGGAGGAAGCAGCAAGAAGAGGGATGCAGAACGGCTGGACAGACTGGTGAGGAAGGCTGGCTCTGTGGTGGTCACAGAGCTGGACTCTCTAGTGACAGTGGCAGAGAGAAGGACCCTGAACAGAATGCTCTCCATCATGGACAACACCCACCACCCTCTGCACAGCACCTTCACCAGGCAGAGGAGTGTGTTCAGTGGCAGACTGCTGTCACAATCCTGTTCCACAGACAGACTTAAGAACTCTTTTGTCCCCCTGGCCATACGTCTGTACAACACCTCACGGTTATGGCAGGGGGAAAACACACACTTGGACTAAATCTTCCTTTTTCCATTTCCCATCTGCACAGCTGTCCCAAGAGAGTCAGCCTCTAGTTGGACACTTTAATGATCACCTCAATTACTTAAATAGCACCTTTAATTTAATGTTTGCACTGCCTGTTATTTAATTTAATGTCTGTTTTTGATAACTCTGCACTATCTGCTTTTTTAAACATTGCTGTACGAATATAAACAACACAACTTCAGAAGGTCAACACTTTTTTATTTTTTTTATATTCAGGTCTAATTACAGATTTTTCCCTCAACTGTTTAAAGGTTCTTGCTTTAAATTACACATATATTTTTATCCCTGCACGGGTTCTGTACATTTCTTGTATAAGTCTATTTTTTAATTCCACAGTTTAAGTTTGTTTTCATCTAGGGGTATTCTTTAAATCTTTTATCGGGTTAATATATATGTATGGGGGGGCGACGGTTTTGCGGCATTTTTTTGCGGCTTAATTTGTAACAAATGTTTCATGTCATGTACGTCTTGTAACCTGCTACTGGATGGTTTGAATTTCCCTCGGGATCAATAAAGTATCTATTTATCTATCTATCTATCTAACCTTAATCACATGCTTTTCATGAACTTTTAAATCCAAGTGTCAGATTCTTAAATGTTAGTTTTATGGCTGTGTACTGCTGCTGACCTCTAGTGGTCAAAGACAGAACTGTCTGAGAGTCTCAATTTGTTTCTTCTTGTTTCTCCGGGGTCTTCCTCAGGTGTGTGAGGATTGCGAGGAGGCTACAGAGAAGGACTTTCGGATCACCTCAAGGAAGTTCTGGCAAACCGTTCTCCGGCTCAGGAAGGGAAAGCAGGGCTTTCCCCGGGCTGTTATCAGCAGGGATGGAGAACTGCTGACCCGGACTTGGGACATCGTGGGGTGGTGGAAGGAATACTTTGAGGAACTCCTGAACCCAACCAACACATCCTCTGAAGGGGAGGCAGAGTCTGAAGATCTGGGGTGAACCTTACCACTAACCTTAGCAGAGGTCACTGAGAAAGCTCCTCAGTGGCACCAGGTGTGGATGAGAGTCGCCCTGAGACGCTAAAGGTTCTGGACATTGTTGGGCTGTCTTGGCTGATACGTCTCTTCAATGCCACGTTGAGGTCTGGGACAATGCCTGTGGGGTGGCAGATCTTCATTACCGATCTTCATTCCAACCCTCTGTGGTCACGCCATAGACTGTAAAAAGATGCATTATGGGTAGTGACTGAAAAAGTGTCCGCTACTCCTTCACATCTAAAGGAGACAGTTGAGTTGTTTCGGGCGTCTGATTGGGTCTCCTGGACGTCTCCCTTTGGAGGTTTTTCGGGCATGCCCGACCAGGAGAACCCCCTGGGGTAGACCCAGAGTTCACTGGAGGGATATCCTTTCAGTCCTGGGAACGCCTCAGAATCCTCCAGGAAGAATTGGAAAATGTTGACGGGGAGGAAGTCTGGGTTGACGTACTTCTCCTGTTGCCACAGCGACCCGACCTCGATAAGTAAGAAAATGTATCCTTGGTGATTTTTTTTAATATATGCGCTGATATAAAAACAAAACTTTTTTACAAAATATTTAATGGCGAAACCACCATTAGGATCATTTAGATATGGTGTCATCATGAAGGTTGTCCAGTAGAGGGCGCTCCTGATCCACAGTGAACAATACTCTCTACTTATTTTTTTATATTTTCTCCCTCTATAACCCTTATTAATCTGTGTTGCTCAATTGAATTTAAGTCTTACTGTTTTATATATTTAATCTCTAAAGTGTTTATGTACAATTTCACTAATTGATTATCAATGATTAATTAAAAAGGAATAAAATCAGATAAATATGAAATGACTCGAGCAGAGAGTAAAACATGGATCAGCTCAAGTGAAAAAAAAAAAGTATTCAGAGTTCTTCCTCCAGGTGATATATTCAGTAAGTAACACAGAGCTTTACTTCAGAAACAGAACTGAGCTTTTGACCTTTGACCTCAGAGTTCTCACTGTCCTTTAACTTACAAATATTTGAACTGTTAGCTCAGTGTTGAAGTTAAAATAACAGACACTCAAACAGTTCTGTTTTTGACCACCAGAGGTCAGCAGAGCACAGATATTCAATAGTTTGATGTTATTGTTCAAGAATCAGACACTTTGATTTATCCAAATCTTTTTATAGATAGATAGATAAACTTTATTGTCTGTCCCAACAGTGATGAAATCATTTTTTTAGATGTTTTTTGGGCCAGAGGGACACTGTAGCGTCTGCCTACGCTCTTCAAAAGAGGAACAAGAACATAAAAAGTCAAAATTGTTTCTGAAGGTATTTATAATTATATAATTAAGTCTCACTTCTTCTCTGGTATCTCTAGCTGAACTGCAGACATTTTTCAATGAATGAATGAAACCTTTATTGCCCCTAGAGGAATCTGCCTTGCACAGAGAGCATAAAACACACTATACAAACAAACATTTACAGGCCAACAAGAACACAGTAAAGCATTGCATGATTAACTGAGTGATTTCAGTAGCAAGTGAAATAAAGTGCAGAGTGCCGAGTTCATCCTGTATAATCAAAGCTTATTAAGCAGCTGAATACTGTGTGGTACTAAAGATGTAATGCCTCTTTTAGTCCTCATCCGGGGCATTCTGTACCTGCACCCTGAAGTCAAGAGTTCATACTACGAGCAAAGGGGGTGCAGAGGGTCAGCTGTAATCTTGATTCGTTGCTTTTGAGGATTTTTCTTTTATTTATTTGTTTATTTTGACAGGAACAGTGTACAGCCAATTAGCATATTCTTTACACTTACACATTTAATTTGTCTGCAATCGCTTGCCAAGCTGCTCGTCTGGCCTTTGCTGATGCCGAGGTGTTTGATTTGGCTGTTAAATGAAGTTTTCATATTCGTCAATGATGGTTTGCGGTTCAAGTTGTGTAAAAAATGTTGCGCTTTCCTTTAAATTCTCCATTGATAATCACAGAGAGAATCAGGATTTGTGATCCACGTTGCTCCCTTTTCATGTAGGACGGGCACGCGCAAGTATCCTGATCACTGTGGTTCCAATTAACGATACTGAAATCTGTTTTGTATTCTTTTAAGGGCAAAATGTTAATTCTCCATCATGGAGAACACACTGCTGACGCCTTTGCTTCCTACTGAGCATTTTTGCTTGGCAGTCTAATTTCAGTCTAGCTATCTAAGGAAGTGGGTAGCTACACATAGAAAAAGATGGTGGTTTCCTTGTCTCGGGGAATTCTCTGGATAAACATGTCTTCCTGTGTATAGACAACAAAGTCACACCAAATCAGCATCTGGCCCTGGATTTGCCAAAAGTAAGGATGGGACTTTCTGAGTGTGTGTGTGCCCTCACTGATCTTTATATAAGGGCAGTCCACATAGATCACTACATTTGGGTATTTAATTTCTAGGAGGCCAAAGACTGGTTGTCCCTGTGGGTCATAGACAATACCATCAGGTGATGATCCCATCCATGGTGCGTCGGGGTGGATGAGGAACCCACAAGGGTAGTGGTTCACATCCCTTGCTCTGCAGTACTCCTCTACAGCTGCAGGCTCCATTTCAAGCCCCCTCCTCTTGTCTGCAGTCTGATGGCTGGGTCTCAGTAGCCTTTTAACAAGATTTACAGCAGAGCTGTGACTTCTGGTGTGACAGATCTCTCTAAATTTGGAGGATGTGACTCTGTATCTTCTTAATTGGTGCCACTCAATGCAGGAGCTCTGCTCTTTTGTACTAGATTCAATTTTATGTGTTGTTTCTAAGGATGTTTCCAATGACATCATGTGGAGCTGCTGATGTTCAGTGCAGACAAAAGAACATGTACATGGTCCCAGCATGCACGCTTTATGTTAGTATGAAGCATGCTCAGTTTACAAACAGGCGGACTCGAGAGAGAGAGAGAGAGAGAGAGAGAGAGAGAGAGAGAGAGAGAGAGAGAGAGAGAGAGACGCACAGTCGAGTCCGCGGCCGCACATCGGAGAACAGCACAGAGAACATGACAGCTACTTTGTGTCTTATATTGTGTCATGTTAGTCAGATACAAACTCTGGATTTCTCCAGAATGAAGGCTGTCAGTGTTGTTTACCCGCGTGCTTGTGCTCGTGCATGAAGTGTACCGTGCTGAAGCACACCTCTCTGAAGTGTGCCAAAGCCAAGGAAGTGTACCTGGTCTGAGCACGATACAGAGCAGTCACACTGGTCAAATGAACTGGACTTTAGGGTTGAAGCGTGCTTGGGCAATTATTTGCTTATTCATTTATTTTCTCTCTACCTATGTATTCATTTATTTAAAAAAGTCTCTACCCTAACTATACCGAACACTGCATAAAGGCACACCACACTTCTGGTAAAATAATGTGAACTCTGTGTTGGACAAGAGCTACACCTTTTTTTCTTAACTGCTACCTCATGTCTATGTATATGTTGGTAATGTGCATGTTTTGATCTTGTGTCTGTGTATGATTTTTAACTCAAATGTTTTCACAAATGATAATAATTACAGAAACAATCATGACAAAAAATATATAAATAATAATAACCTGACTCCCTGTGCAAGTCTTCTTTCCTTGGGTCTGGCTGAAAGGATGACCATTTCATTTACAGGACCAGGTTTAACACCCTGCAGTTAGACAAAAAAAAACGTTTTTTCCAAAAACAAGGACAAAGAACTTTACATAACCTCACAGTATGTCATAAAGTTAGCATACCATGGTTCTTGGTTTATGCCACTGCTGTTCTGTCTCTGTGCAGCTGTGCACTGGGGGGACAGTGGTGATGTTGAGCTGAGAATAGTGTGCAGTCTGGTATAATAGTGCTGCCACATGGTTGCACAAGGCTGCACCAGCCACACAGGTACACTGGCAGCTTTGTAGCTGCACAGGACGGGTATCCCTTAGTGCAATCTGGGAAAATACACAAATGTGTTACAATGTTGTACAATACATACTGTACTTGCTGCAAGTGCAGTTTAACTTTAAATATTTAATGAAAATGTGTTATAGAAGGAACAATTATAGAAAAAGGAAGATAATAACTAAATACATTTAGCCAAACAATATCTGATCTCAATCTCTCTTTACTAATAAATATAAGAAGCACATAATATTGAGAAGTGGTAAAACACAGACTGTTAGTATCTAGTTTCTGTGAATCCCATTGCCTATTTTCACACAGTAATGTTATGAATTGTTTATCAAATTATGTATATATTTTTAAGTAGCTTTTAGCAGTACTCGTGGCACCTATATGATTCACAGAAACTTGATTTGATGAACAGAAATCTGTCATGAACCTGCTGCATAACTTTCCCTTACACTCAGACTGTGAGGCTTTTGTTTTGTCCTCATTGATCTGAAGCACTCAGCTCTAACGCTAATCTCTCCGCTGGAATCCTTCTTTCGTACTGACATTGAAAATTGTGACAGTGATAGAAAGAAACAAATAGAAACACAGTGTTAGCACTTACTACACATTATGCCAGTACACAAACATGCTAACATTCACATTAATGATCTTACCTTCGTAATTGTGGATATGCCTCGTTCTTTGTTTTTTTCAAATGAAACTTTATTAACAACTTTCAACGCACCGTCTCGATTTCACTCGTTCAGTGTGAGCACGTCAATCTCAAGGTCTGGTCGGGCGTCGTAAACTATTCAGTCGTACAGTGTGAGCCGACTTTTATACAATCGGGGAAAAATCGCAGTGTGAGTCAGGCTTTAGTCAACCTTTAACCATAACGTTCATCAAATCAGGCTAAAAGGACATCAGCTCTGATTATTTGAACCACGTACGAGGACTGGGGCCCTGGATTCAAACCTGCGACCACTTCAACCAAGACTGAAGCCTCTCCTCCTGAGACCAAAACAAGTTGACCTAAAGCAGCGATGGGCAACTTTGGTCACAGCAAGGGCCACATTCATTTAATTCTGACTGCCAGGGGGCCAAATTGTAGTATACAAAAACGATAACAGTCAATTATGTCTCAAATTTAACTCAACATATACCAGTGATCAAATATTATGATGGAAATAGTTCATGGCAGATTTTGTCATGTTTTGATATATAAAAATTGACCTGAGGGCCACATTGAGGGTTGACGAGGGCCGCATGTGGCCCCCGGGCTGCCAGTTGCCCACCCCTGGCCTAAAGGATATAAAAATATATTTAAAAACATTAACTTGATTTATTTTCTGAAAACAGAATCAAAAACATAAAGAGTCTACGGGACATGTAACCTCACACAGCGCTCTGACATCTCGTGTCATACATTTAGTTTAATCAGAAATAAAGAGTTTAACAGAAAGACATCACATGAATTATTTTAACATTAGTACAATTAAAGCTTTT